AGTATTGTTTGAATGAATGATTGGATGCTTTTAAGCAAGGGATGAACATAATCTAAATTACATTTATAAAAGATTTTGCCTGTCAAGTGGAGAACCGTGTAGATGAGTGAGAGAGGAAGTTAGGAGTCCTCTAATGAAAGAAAATGGTGGCTGTGACTGTGATGATGGTGGAGGAGTTGGAGAAAAGTAGAGAGCTGTCAGGTGGTATATTTTGAAGGTAGAAACAAGACGACTCACTGATGGATTGGATATGAGTGGTATGGGAATAAAGAATAATTGGCCGGGCGCGGTGGCTCACTAATCCCAGCACTTTGGGAGGCCGAAATGGGCGGATCACGAGGTCAGGAGATCAAGACCATCCTGGCTAACACAGTGAAACCCCGTCTCTACTAAAAACACAAAAAAATTAGCCGGGCATAGTGGCGGGCGCCTGTAGTCCCAGCTATTCGAGAGGCTGGAGGCAATGGAATTTTTTTGTTTATTTTTTTTTTTATTTTTTATTTTGTTTTTTTTTTTTTTTTTTTTTCCGTTTTTTTTTTTTTTTTTTTTTTTTTTTTTTTTTTTTTTTTTTTTTTTTTTTCGCATGACCCCTCGGAGAGGGCGGGCCTGCTGGGCGAGTCATGGCCACTGCACTGTAGCGCCTGGGGCGCTGAGCAAAGCGACTCGTCTCAAAAAAAAAAATAATAAAATCAAGATGCTCTCAGCTGGGCATGGTGCCGCTCCATGCCTGTTAATCCGCTACTCAGGTGAGGCTGAGGCAGGAGTTTGGCTGAGGGCCAAGAGTTTCAAGATCCACTTTTGGGGCAACACTGTAGCAAGACCCCGTATATTAATTGGGAAAAAAGGTTATGGACTTTTAGAGTTGTTTGATGCTGTGTCTTGCTGACTCTGAGGTGGAAATGCTAAGTAATAGCCAGTACTGTTTTCAGCAAACGGGTTGGCCTGGAATAGAGGATTGAGGAGGTTTATCAGCTTACAGGTGGGTATTAAGCCATAGTGTAAAGGTCAGCTTTTTCTTTAAGGTCAGAGGTATACAAATGATCCAAGACTGATTGCGCCTTTCAAAAACCTCCAGGCTTCAGTTTTAATTGTTAGAAGAGTCGTATAGTGGCAGCCAAGAAGGAGAGCAGATATTTTGGTTATAACAGCGTTAATAACTCGTCTTCTTTTTTAGAGATTAAATGGAAACGCCAGCAATATTAAATAACTTGGTCCAGCTGTGGTATGGGTACCTAATTTTGTCTCCCCTCAAGGCCTGATGTCCCTTTTCGTAACTATGAAAATGGATTCTTGTGCTCATGCTTGTCTTGTTATCTGGGCTCTATGCTTTAAGATGCTCTAAGATCTTGTGATCTTATATTATAAGGTAATGAAGTGTAGAGTTGAAAATGGAAAGAACTTGGCTCCAGAGTAACGACGGGTTTCGGGGGGGCATCGACTAGCTGGCTGTAACTGGGCCACAATACTGTTACCTCGGTCTAAATCTCAGGTTTCCTGGTCTCTAATATTGGGTTTTTGCTAAAGGGGCCGCCGCTTGCCCAATGTCTATGTGAATTTAGGATCACGCCTTGTGCATTCTTAAGAAAGGCTGTTGGGATTTTTTAAGGGCGATTTGCATTCAAGTCTGTTGATCACTTTGGCGTAGGATGTTGTTGCCTTCCAACCATTATTGTCTACCCAACGCTATTGATAAAGAGCTCTTTCCTGATTTTATTTAGGTGTTGCTTTACATTTGTCTTTTACAATATTTTGTACCCTTCGTGGTATAAGTCTACAACCTCCTTAGGCAAAAATTCCTGTAGAAATTTCCTTAGCCAAATTCCTTAGCAAATTCCTTAGCACAATCTCCTAGCAATAATTGCCCTTAGCAATTCCTTGCGATTGATCGCAATATGTAAATGGAATGATTTGCTTGAACCTCTTATCCAATTGTTCTCCTGGACCGTGGTGTAGAAATCACCACTGATTTTGTTTGTTCAATCATGTATTCTTCAACTGCGCGAAAATTTGCTTATTTAACTCTCTAGTAGGTATCACCTTTTTAGATTGTCTGTGTGTAGCGATTGTCTGATTAACTGTTTTTAAAAAGTGTTCTTTAGACCGCCTATTACCTTTCACCGTGTTTTTTATACGTTGCAGGTTTACAACCAGTGAATGGGGTTTCTGAAATCCAACAAGTGAATGTGCAAGTTTTGTTTTTGTGGAAGAGCTTCTGCTATGTATGGTATACACATGCACATATGCAGTGCCGTTTGTGTTATAATATGTATCCAACTTATATATAAATTACTTTCCTGTACTGTGGATAGATGCAAACTTGCAAACAGTGGCTTTATGGCCATTTCTTATGTAGATGGATATAAAGATGGGAGGGGTAAGCTTACAATAAGGTAAGCGTTTAGTTGTCTTTCATTACTTGCAATGGCGAACTTCTGGTGATTGCGCAAGTGGTTTTTTTTTTTTTTGTTTTTTTTTTTTTTGAGACGGCAGGTCATCCGCCGCTTGTCACCCCACCGGCTGGGAGTGCAGTGGGTGCGATCTCGGTCCTCATGCAAGCCTCCGCTCCAGGTTCACGCTCCATTCTCCTGCCTGCACCTCGAGGTAGCTGGGATCAGGCGGCCGCCCCCACGCCGGCTAGCTTTTTTGTATTCTTTAGAGGAGACGGTTTCAACCTGTTAGCCAGGATGGTCTCGGATCTCCCGGACCTCGTGTGGATCCGCCCGTCGGCTCCAACAGTGCTGGGCGGATTACAGGCTGAGCCACCGACACCACCGGCCGCAAGGTGTTTGTACCTAAATACAGAAATAATTGAGCAAACAATATATGTTTATTAGTGGCTCTGGTGTAGATAAATCTTGTGAATTCTCTGTCTTTTAATGGTTTCCGAGAAACTAGTTTTTACTTTGTGCGTTTGTGTACTGTGAAGTTTCCATTATTTTTTAATAGATATTCTTAGGAACTGTATTTTGAGCGGTGTCGGCGCGAGTGGCTCAAGCCTGTAATCCCAGCTACTTTGCGCACCCGCGCCCGAGACGGGTGGATCATGAAGGGTCAGTGAGATCGAGACCTCCTGGCGTAACACAGTCGAAACCCCCGTCTCTAGCTAAAAAATTACAAAAAAAACTGTAGTCCGGGGTGAGGTGGCGGGCCTTGTAGTCCCAGCTTTTACCTTTCCAGGAGAGCTGAGGCAGAGAGAATGGGTGGACCCGGGAGGCGGCGCCTTGCGAGTGAGCTGAGATCCCGCACTGCACTCCAGCACTGGGCGACAGAGCGAGACTACGTCTCAACCAAAAAAAAAAAAAGAATGTATATTTTATGAAAGATAGTGATCTGGATTTAGATTGTATAAGATGCGTTATATACCATGAAACAAAAAGCCAAAAGCCAATTTATTCAGGATAGTTACAAACTACAACAATGATTACATGTTATTCTTTATTTAATGAATTATAAAAATAGATGTATCATGTTTTAGTTATGTATTGTAGTGTCGCCAGTTTTACTGATGAGGTAACGAAATTAAGAGGAACTTACAGGCTTGTTAGTGCGAAATGAAGTGCTTTAAATGTAGCTGGTTGTACGGGTGCGATACAAAATTATTTTATAGAAAGATAAAATTATTCCTGTGTATGGGCCTCTTAATAGGATGTCTTTCCAGTCTGATACACTCAATGGTGTTTGATTTTTCTAAATTGCTTTGCATGATATTAAGTTGCACATTTTACCCACAAGTAGTTGTATGAGGATTATTGTGAACTATGTATGGTAAAGGACATTAGGGCTGTAGGCAGCACCCGTGGCCTTACTTTGCCCTCTGCCCTCTTTCCTCCACTCTCCATCTACTGATGAGGCAGCTTCCCTGAGGTCCACATGTTCTGTTGACATTCTTTTTATTTAACTATGTTACAAAATTGAACATGTATTGGAATGAGCCTGGCTTCAGAACAAAATTGAACATGTGTTGGAATGAGCCTGGCTTCAGAACAAAATTGAACGTGTATTGGAATGAGCCTGGCTTCAGAACCACATGTTTTGTTGACATGCTTTTTATTTAACTATGTTACAAAATTGAGCATGTATTGGAATGAGCCTGGCTTCAGAACAAAATTGAACATGTATTGGAATGAGCCTGGCTTCAGAACCCCTTAGGGACTGACTGTGTTTGAATTCTCCTTCTCCCTCATGGTAACCATGTGACTGTGGACAGTCAAGTCATGTGACTCTCTTAGCCTCAGTTTCTTTTTCCATAAAATGAGGATAATTCAGCATTACATTGAAGAGTAAATGGTATTATGTCATATATATGACATGTCAGATACTGTAGCTGGCATGATAATTGCTTAATAAATGGTAACTGTTTAAAAACTGGAGCCATCATCAGTACACAGTAAATGGTGGTTCCCTTTCTGTTCCCAACCAAAACTTTTACATATGTCCTATCATTTTCAAATTTACTAGAAGCTAATTCTAGTAAACTCATCTGTGCTGTTGGGTCTGTTAGTTAGTGGACCACTTTTCCCGTGTAATTGTGTAGACTTTACAGTGGTCTTGTGGTACATGAAGCCCTGGATGATGGGAATTGCCTGGCTGTCTAGTATGAAAATACAGATGTAGGGGTGTGTCTGTTTTTTGGGGTTTTTTTTCCTGAAATGGAGTCTCACTCTGTCAGCCATGCTGGAGTGCAGTGGCATGATCTCCGCTCACTGCAACCTCCGCCTCCCAGGTTCAAGCGATTCTCCTGCCTCAGCTTCCTGAGTAGCTAGGAGTACAGGCATGTGCCACCACGCCCAGCTAATTTTTGTATTTTTAGTAGAGACAGGGTTTCAGCATGTTGGTCAGGCTGGTCTCGAACTCTTGACCTCATGATCCACCTGCTTTGGCCTCCTAAAGTGCTGGGATTACAGGCATGAACCACTGCGCTCTGTTCGTGTCTATTTTTAGGTACAAAAAAAACCCCAAATATTAACGAAGCACCATTATTTTATTTTCCCCTTCTATAGTTGTGTGCTGCTCATCTCCCTACTGAATCAGATGCACCAAATCATTATCAGGCAGTATGTCGTGCACTGTTTGCAGAAACAATGGAGCTCCATACATTTCTAACCAAAATTAAGAGTGCAAAGGAGGTAAGTACTACTGCTTTGATATTTATTGGCATTGTTTGATTGGCTTGGCATGCATTTGATATTTATTGGAAGAGAAACCTAAATTTTCAACATTGTCCACTCTATTGTTTTAAAAGATTTATTACCATCCTTTAGATGAGTGCTGAAAGTCATTTAGGAAAGAAGCAACTTAGGTAAAATTAAATCTATTCTATTAAAATATCAACAGTGTGAACCATTTAAACAGATTTTCATACAGATTCCTTGCAAATGGAAATAGATGTTACTGAACTAGTTCAGTCCATTCCCACGTGACTTGCTTTCCACCCGCCTTTCTCTTCTGTCCATTCTGAAATATGTTGGGACCTCTTCCAGAAAGGGAGAAAGGCTCAGAAAAGAGGTGACACTCACATCTGATCATTTGTTTTATTTATTATTTATTTAAAAGGTGAGTCACCATGTGTTACATAGGTGGTTGTGAAGATTCAGTGAGATCTTATGTAAAATAGCACAGCATCTGGTGGAAAGTGAGAGCTCAGTACATGTTAGGTAATGGATATCTATATTAGTCAGGGCTGTCCAGAGAGACAGAGCCAATGGGATATATAGATATATAGGTATATGAAAGGGGCCAGGTGCAGGCTCGTGCCTGTAATCCCAGCTACTTGGGAGGCTCAGACAGGAGGATCACTTGAGGCCAGGAGTTCAAGATATATGAGAGGGAGTTTATTAGGAGAATTGGCTCATGTCATTATGGAGGCTGAGAAGTCCCATGACAGGTTGTCTGTAAGCTGGAGACCCTGGTATTCCAGCAGCACAGCTCAGTCCAAGTCCAAAGACCCAGGGTAGGAGAAGAAAAGTATATCCCAGCACCAGGAGGGAGAGAGGCCAATTTTCCTTCCTCTGTTTTTATTCTATCCAGGGCCCCAGCCAAATGGATGGTGTCCAAATGGATGGTGTCCACCTAAACTGAGGGCAGCACTTAGTCCACTCAGACTCACACACTAGTATCCTCTGGAAACACATTCACCTTAAATACATACCTAAAAATAATGCTTTACCAGTTCTCTAAGTATTCTTTAATTCAGTCAAGTCAACACCTAAAATTTACTATCACAGTATCCTTTCTTTTATAACTAACATATAGGGTTTATCAGAAGCACTAGGCTAAAACTTACCATGACCCACAGTTTGGGGAAGAACACATGCTGGATATGTAAGCAAGAAAGGAAAAACTAAACTATTTGCCCAATAAGATGTACTTAGCCCTGGTAATAAGTAGGTGATGGATGTCTCAGGCAGATCACCCATAATAAATCACCCTTAAATAGATCCGTTGTATGTATATGAATAAGAGCTCTTAGCATCCCTCCTCTGCTCTGGCTAGGGTACTGCTTATAGTCTGTCTTTTTATGATAGGGCAATGAAAAACTTTGCCTTTTTCTTGTTTTAATTTTATTAAATTGGATCAAGGAGGAAAGTTGTCAACAGAGTGGAAAAAAGGTGAATTATATGTTAAGAATAAACGTGTGTGTGTGTGTGTGTGTGTAATGGATTAGCTGTTCTCCTTGAGCAGAACCAGAAGAAGTGGGATCTGATTAAAAGCTTCAAAGTGAACATCCAAAGGCATGTCCTCAACTAGGTTTTCTCAGATAGTAGAAAAGATTACTTTTTAAGGCTGTCATTACCTTTCCCAGCTTGTTAAGACTGAGATTGCCTTCCCCAGAGCATTATTTTTAGGGTGTACATGTACGATCCTGTGGGGTTAATAGAAGAAATTAAATGAGCTCTTGAAGTCCTTCCAACACTGGCATTCTTAGAAACTGTTTTTGGCCGGGCACGGTGGCTCAAGCCTGTAATCCCAGCACTTTGGGAGGCCGAGACGGGCGGATCACGAGGTCAGGAGATCGAGACCATCCTGGCTAACACAGTGAAACCCCGTCTCTACTAAAAAATACAAAAAACTAGCCGGGCGAGGTGGCGGGCGCCTGTAGTCCCAGCTACTCGGGAGGCTGAGGCAGGAGAATGGCGTAGACCCGGGAGGCGGAGCTTGCAGTGAGCTAGATCCCGCCACTGCACTCCAGCCTGGGCGACAGAGCGAGACTCCGTCTCCAAAAAAAAAAAAAAGAAACTGTTTTTGAGCTTAAATAGAACAGTATTAGTATTTTTACTACTCTACTGCAGTGAGCATTTAAAAAAAGTTTGCTCTTGATCCGTTTGCAGTTCCAAAGCGTGATGATTGGATATTCACACTTGTGTGTGAGATGTTCCTTTTTCTAAACATTGTTCTGTCAGCACATTATTCATCTGATGTAAAAAAATATAAATTTTTTTGCTCTTGATTAAAATTTTGCTTTGCCAGATATGCAAACACACTTTCAAAAAGAGGTTCAAACATTATTAAAGTTTATTTAAATAAAAAGCTGACAGGTGGAGTGAAACTGCTGTGTGGCAGTGCCTGCAGAAACTGGCCAGGCTGACCGAGGTTGGGCCCTCACATCTCTCACGACCCACAGGCTAGGACGCCACCCCAGCCACATCTCTCACCCTGTCACCACCCCAAGGCTAGGACTTTATAGGCATTAGTTCCATCCTGTTTGCATATCTCCTTCTCCTCTGTTTCTACTCTGTTGATCTCCATATCACCCTTTCCCAGTATCCTCTGGAAACTACACTCCATCTTGAAAAGAGTCCCCTCAGGCTCTTCTGACACTTGTTCCCTTAAGGGTAGTGCTTTCTCTTGCTTTCCTCCTGTGGGAAGCTGGTCTTTCCTCTATCCCTGTTTTGATTGGGGTGGGTTTGCTAATATTCTGTCTGTCCTCTGCTGCCTGCCAGTAATCAGCCTTTGTCCTCGTTGAAACACCCTTCTTCCTTCGAAGCTCCTGTCACCACTTCTTTCATTTTGAGTGATTTCCTAGACAAAGAAAGCACATAAATTGCCTATCAACACTAAGGTTTCGGGAATGTAAGTTTCTTTTACCTCTACAATCTATAAGGTTTTCTTGAAATGACAGAACATCTTTATACATGTTAGTTTATGTATGTAAATGGTTTCAACCTTTTCTCAAAAATACTGTTTTCACACTAAAAAATACTATTCGTTAATTTGACTTTTTTCTAAAGATCCCAAAATACTTTAAAAATATATTTTAAGACTCACTCTTTATACCTATGAGTTAGTGTGTACCAAGTGGAATTTTTGAAACAATAGACTCTGATTCAACAAAATTAAAAACTGGGTTATCAACAATGTTTCAGACTACCTTATATCTGTGTATATGTGTGTGCATGAGTGCATATAAATTGGGGTGGAAGCATAGTGTCAGAATATTTGAGCTCAGTTGCTGATAATGTATCTGATTTGATAGTCCAAAAGTACTTTAATTATACTAAATTTCTTATATGCCAAATTGGCAATTTGTTAAAATATAAAATCTACCATCTGTTTTCCAATGTTATACTTGTTAAGTGTTAAGTGCATTTACTGAACCTGGCTACTTTATAAAGCACAGCGCCTGGTTCATCATCTATTTATTTTGAAAGCAAATTTGTTTATTTTCTAATCCCTTTCATGGTGTGATGATTTTCTTCTTAAACAACCAGTGAGCTCCTTTAAGGTTATTCTTTGAATGATAAAGATTTGGGTAGGCCTGCTGTTACTTTGTCTCTTAAGCAATGTGATATCCTCGAAAGTAAGTACACATTACTGTGTCTCCTAAGCAATCGGATATCCTTGTAAGTTAAGTATAGCTGGAGGCACTGTCTAAGCAATCCATCGAGGGCATCAGGTTGTATGAAAGAAGAGCCACCCTGCCCTGCTGCCAGTGACACCACCATATTCCAGAGCCGTACCGCAGGGGTAGCTGGTGAGCCTGGGCTGTGCTCAGGGGGCAGTTACAACGTAAAATTTTTTATTGGAGAAAATGAAATTGTGTTAATGGTAGTATCCTTTCATCTATTGTGGTCCAGGTAATTTTTTGATCATCAGTCCCCAGTTTTGTTATTGTTACATAAAATTATTTATCATTACCTAAAACTTTAACCCCTGCTACTTTACTGTGTTATATTCATACAGCTCCTTTATAAAATGCCTTCTCTTCCTTACTCCATTAGATTCTTGTAACGATTCTGTGACTCTTTGTAAATTAGTAAACTAAGGCTTTGAGAGATTAGAGATTCACATAGAAGTAAGTTCTCAGTGCTGCTAACAGCATTTTCATCCTCATCACACCCTTCAGTCCAGCAAAGGTGTTCCACTACATAGAAGTTATTGCTGCTTTCCTCTAAGAGTGTCACATAAAATACACTGCTGGATGAAACTAAAGAGAGAGTTCCGAAGAACACGGAGATAGATACTTTGATGTAGGTTTCTGAGCAGTCTTGGAGACAGAATATGTGAGTCAGAGAGACTAATATTTGGCTTTGGAGAGAAGAGGGTTTATGAGGGAATGTGTGGGCACGCACATGCTGGTGTTAGGGGGTTGATGGTCCTGCGTATGCACATAAATGGGATGGGGGGGACCATGTGAAGTTCAGGTATGAAGAGGGAGGCCAGGCACGGTGGCTCATGCCTGTAATCGCAGCACTCTGGGAGCCCAAGGCAGGAGGATTGCTTGAAGCCAGGAGTTCAAGACCAGCATGGCCAACAAGGCAAGACCCCATCTATTAACTAACTAACTAACTAACTAACTAACTAACTAAATAAATAAATAAAGAGGGAGATGTGAAATGGGAAAAGATAGAGTATCATAGAAGTGTCAAAGACTGAGATAAAATAATTTTAAGACTAGAAAGTCAGTTGATTTTTCTGATGCTTTCCTAGCATGGTCCAGCCATCATTGCTTCCACGTTGAGAGTGTGCAGTATGCTCGCCAAATTCTCCAGTAATACATCGTTTCATAGTGGGGGTATGATGATATTACAGTAGAAACTTGATGTATCATAGAAGTACACTGGTTTAGAAGAATTTTTTGAAAGCTTTCTTTAAAGCAAATAACTCATTTTTTAATTTATTTCATAAT